ATCCGTACCTAGCCTTCCATTCAATACTTGAAGGGTTTGGGACAATTCGGAAGACATGTCGTCTTGTGTAGTAGTGGTACCCGGATACCAAGCTGACAAACAAGGAAATCAGTACTAAATCATATAAGCGTGTCCGGCCCATTTTCAACCAACTTGCCCGAATAATAGGGGTTTTGTCTTGGTTCGACCCAGCGGTACGCTGCTGGGAACGGAGTTCTTACACTCGTAGTGATGATTTCATCTGGCCTTGACGGGAAGTCGGGTAGGTAGGTAGTACCAGAACCGGGGTAGTTCAGAAGTGAAACAGTCTCGAAATGTTGGTCTGGTTCTTCATTGATATGTTCTTGAGGTTTTCCTAAGACATTCTGTAAGCATAAGACGTCATTTATTACACTACAACTAACTCAACTTGTCAGGATCCCGGATTCCGAGCGCGGTAAGACAGACTGCCATAGTGACCTATACGGCAACACATCTCAACTGCATCTCGTTCGATTTCTTCATGCTGGCGACCCGCTTATAGAGCACAAGCGCCTAGGAAAAGCCTTTATCGTCCGCATCCCAATCTTTCATTCAATCTTGTTGGGTATAGTGCTTAGTGGTTGATGGGTCAGTTGCAGGTAAGGAGATAGAGGCCAGGCGCGAATCCTTTGCGCTTCGCCCAAATCAAGCGCCGTCCACTCTACAGGCCACCCCATTGCCAAGGCGATGATTGATCTCCCCAATGCAGTTTTTAGCGTGTTTATTTGCTATTTCAAGGGGACACTCCCCATACACACTACATGTTGTAGCCTCCTCTGGGTACCGTACAGGTAGGTAGGTATTCTCGCTACCTCGAGGTAGCACGAACCTCAGTTTCGGTTTTCTCGCTGCAGGTTCGGTTGACCCCGAGACACGAATCCCAGACGAGACACGTGCGTCCCGTGGCAGCGTGCTCCCGCCCACCCGTCTTTAGTGCAACACTATGGAAGATACTAGAGCGTTGGGCGATGTTGCAGTGGTTCCTCGTTTGTTTCTAAAAGGTTGGTGGTTTGTCAGTATAAGACAGAAGAAGTCAGGCACTCCTGGCCCGGAACCTAGGTAAACTCCTATATGGGAGAAAGACAGATAGATAGTCGGCATGTCACACAGCTCGACAATTTCCCGAGGTGCGACGACATGAACTATACAGATACGACTCGTGACACATTCGGTGTACTGTGCTGCAGACTGGAGAGACAACGAAATTTTTGTTGCAGTGGTTATTATAGACTTCTCGAAAATGTGTCTAGATCATGGAATACCCGTGGAAACACAAAGACACGAACGCCGGAACTTGAGCAGGAATGCGAGGGACGAATATGGGAGAATTTGCCTATTCAATCATGAATGCGGGGTTCGACAAATTGGGCACGACAGAGGGGGGAGAATGGATGTGAAAGAGGAAGGTTCATCCAAAGGTTTAGAGGTCTGGTCGGGACTGCCCCTGATGGACAACAGGAAGTGGTGATGGGTCCAGGTGACCTGCGAATTCGATCATGCCTTCCTATTTTGAGTTTCTCACCCCGTGTTTGGGCGTCCCTTCCCCCTCGCGAATCGCCCACTGGTATTCATCCGAACCGGTCACTAAAGTATACTGAATGAAGATATGAGTAAAGAAGGTAAGGTACCTATCTTCCATTGAAGAAGAGGCTTGTGGTGGTACTGTACTGTAGTAGTAATGTACCTCGTGTAATTACCGAGCTTGAGATCCCCAGCATCCCGTCGGTACATCTGCCATTGTAAACATGGGCGGCATGAATGAAACTGCACTGATCGATAATGCAAGACGTCAACATCTTCCTTGCTTCGCTATTTCACGCCGCTGTTGGTGAATGTATCTGATACTACACGACATGCCACAGTCTCTCTCCGACCCTCTGGCCAAACTTTGCTCCCTAAAACAGACATCACCCCAATTTGAAACTCAACCCCCCATCTCCTCCCTCTACCCCCGCTGCACAACCTCCTCCTTGGCCTTCTTCACCACATCCACCCAAATCGGCGGCCGTCTCCTCCTATCAGCGCCCGCCTCCTCACACACGGCTCCAAACTGCAACAACTGCTCCTCTGCGCACCACTCTCCCATAGCCATCAATCCTACGGGCACCTCCCCTCTCCCTTGCACGTCCATATCGTTCACCAACCCCGACTCTGGACTGACAAACCCAGCGGGCACCGAGATACTCGGCAGTCCACAGAAATTCGCCAGCCAAACATACTCCATGCTCTGCAGCGTTCTATCCCCATCATTCACGCCCCACTTCAGCTCGCTCTTGCTCTTGATCGGCAAGCCCTCGCAGCTGGTTGTGGGGGTGACAATCAACATCCCCGGGTATTGCTGCCACAGCCAGGAGAGGTGCTGCATCAGGACGCGGCGCAGCTTCATGGCTAGCATGTAATCAGAGGCAGGCGTGACGGTACCAAGGGCGATAAGGATGCGGTTGCCGTAGGTCAGGTTGCTGGTTTCCGGGAGGAGGGTGGCGGCGTCGGTCAGAACGGTGATGGCGTGCGCGATTTGGCCCTCGGGAAGGAAGGGGATGTCTATTTCCACGGCCGTGTAGCCGTGGTCGGAGCAGAGGCGCCGGATCATGGTGTTACAGAGGGTTTGAATGGCGGGCGTGGCGCGAGCGAACCAGGCGGAGGGGATACCAAGGACTTTGGGGTGACTACCGCCATTGGGAGGGCCGGTCAAGCTGAGGCGCTTCAAGGGCGGGAAGGGAGAGGACGGGTGAGGCTTGCAGATAACTTGGAAGACGGTGGCGAGGGACTTGATGTCCGCAGCGATGGGACCGAGACAGGCGCAGGTCAGGCAGTGGTTTTGGCCGGGCTTGAAAGAGAGACGGCCGTGGGTGGGCTTGATACCAAACACGCCGCAGAGACTGGAGGGGATGCGAATGCTGCCGCCGCCGTCGCTGCCGAGACCGATAGGGATGAGACCGGCACTGACGGCATAGCCGGTGCCAGAGGAGCTACCGCCTGTGTAGTAGTTGGGGTTGTGAGGGTTTCTGGGAGTACCGTGAACCGGGTTGTTGCCGGTGGTGTCGAGACCGAATTCGTGCATGGAGAGCTTGCCGAGGATGATGGCGCCGGATTCTTGCAGCTTGCGCACACACCAGGTCGTGATGGAATCTTCCTCGTGGATGGTTCCCGTGTAGATATTTTTCGAGCCAAGGTTGGTTTCGTAGCCGTCAATGTCGTACTCGTCCTTGACACCAGTAGGAACGCCATCCAAGGGACCAAGAGAGCGTCCTTCCTTGTACCGCTGCGTCGACGCCGTTGCCGCAGCCAAAACTCTGTCCACCTTGCTGTCGAACCATGCTGAAGAGTACTCGGTAGGGTTCTCGACGTCGCGACGGATCAGGGGCAGCAGAGCTTGGGCAACGTCCAACGGTGTGAGTGCGCCTGAGAGGTAGAGTTTCCGATAGTCCTCCACTGAGTAATAATTTGCCTGGGGATATCTGTGGCGGAGGTCGTCTCGCTTGGCCGCCTCAGTTTCCGGGATTTCGTCATCCTCAAGGTCATCCTTAACTTCATCGGTAGTCTCAAAATCCGGATAGGGTACGATCTGAGGCTCAAACCATGGCTCATAGTCCTCAATATACGGGCGAATCTTGCGAAGGTCGCCGAAGCCGGCGTTGCGCCATATGATCTCTCTGATAAAGCGAACATATTCCAAACTGCATGATCGGTGTTGGTTCAGCATGCACATAAAGCGACTCTCTCTTGAAAAGAAGAACTTACATGAAGGCAGCGGCGCAAATGATCCAGCCGCGAATGGGCGGGTTGGACTTTCTCTCCACCACATATGGGACATCCGGACTGTGAATACCAGTCAGCACGTCTGCTTAATTTTCAGCGACGATCACAGCGACGGCTGCAGTATTGAAAGCTGAGCTTACCCTCTCAAAGGGTCTGGATAGTTCAACAGTCTTTTGGACTGTGACACCGAACCCATTTTTTGTGACATGACGCAAAGACCATGTAATTGGTGAAAAGTTCAGGTCGATGAGTGCTTGACGCTGCAAGGCAAGGAAAACTGCAGCAGAAAATGATGCGTATGCATGCAAAGATATGACTTCTTCACGTGCTGGCGAGAATGCGTGAACGGTGATGATACGACAAGGCCCGTTCCGTGTCCTTTTTTTCAAGTTACCAATTTTGGGCAACAAGAACTTGAGCCTTCAGTTGTTTTCGATGTAAACGTTTGGATAAGAGCGAGTGGATGTCTCTCCTGGATCTTTCGGTTTGATGCCTGATAGCGAACGGCGTGGCGACTGGTTCGTTGTGACTGGTGACTGGCACCAGAGGAGAAAGAACGAAGGACACGTAGGGTGTGGGTGAGTAAGGTTCAGCGACAAGTCAACTTGGTCAAGAGACACCGCGAGTCACGGTTGGTGTTTGAAAAGAGACAAAGCGTGACGGACGCTGTGAACTTGTGTGCGTGTATGTGTGTGTGTGTGTGCAATCTCGCCGGTAGCCTGATACTTCACCGTCCCTGCATGTTTCATCCTGAGGCTTCTATGGCAGTCTGACATCTGTCATCCGCTGCCTTTTGATATCTAGCATCAGGCACTTGGAGAATCAATCCCCATGTTGACTCAGGCATATGACATGTCTAGGGTCTATCATTGGTGCAACCATCGCCATTTGCAATGCAAGCGCTGTTGCGATGGCGCCTCTATGGAGATGGACGCTGTGGAATGACGACAACCGGAAGCGGTCAAAGTCCGATTGAATGGAAGCTAGTGGAGGTGTGCCCTTCCGCTCGGACTCTTCGTCGGCCTTCATGTTCCTGACTCTAGGGTCCCCGAGACGTCCGAACGACAACCGTGGATCGTGTCATCCAAAGTTTATATATAGAGTATGGTAGGTACCGGTATCTGTTGTTGCTTGTTTTGCATCATCACTGACATATGGCAGCTGAGCCGTGGTGCATGCATTTTTCAAAAGCGAGCCGACCCGCCCATCCACACGGCTTATTCCATTGCTTCGTTAAATGTCACTTGAGGCTCATGTCACTGTCAACGACACTGGAGAACTTGGACACTATTTTCCACTATTTGAGACTGATAGAAGGGGCTACAGCATAGCCCCCTTCAAGTTCTCGCTACAATGGCAGATCGGCCCATGGACAAGGTTCGTCGGTCGATGGTTAGGCCACCAGCGTGCTTGAGGTGCCCATGAAAACGAAGACCGTCGTCGTTGTAAACATGAGCCCGCTGTCAACGATGGGATGAACCGTGACCCAGCAGATTTAAGAAATGACTGTCCTGCTTCATAGTACGTGACTCTGCAAATTCTGATTCTCTCGTCCCAAGTCAAATAGCATGAATCGAGTCGATGCTGGAGGATCAACCTAATTATTGTTGACGACGTCAGAACCCGCGATGGGCCCCTGTTCAGCTCTTCAGCATCACAACCTGAAGACGGAAAGCGGATGATGACCCCGCAGTAGTCATGCGGGGTCTCAAAGCTGTTAAATGCAAGATAGAAAGAAAGCCTGCTCTTCTACAACTGGCTAACGTTATCTTAACTCAACTTTGTGCCCTGCACTCGCAACCTGAAAGGTTCCCCCGGCTACCTATCGGGGCCCGTTGCTTGGTCACCCCCTGGCGACCCCCGCTCCCACCGATTCACAGGAAAGCGGCCCAGGGCGAAAGTCGGGAAAGCGCAAACAGAAAAGCAAACGCTACCATAGGTTTCTTTGGCCAATTTTGACATTGGCTCATCCTCAGGTTGAATTTGGGCACCTCCAGTCAACACAATTCTCCCCTCGACACTGGGCCTATCTTAACAAACGATGAATAGTGAATTCCAGCCGTCTCGTCTTTTTTATCCACCTCATGTTCATGCCACAGCGCGAAACCAGCGGTATTCTATCACGCACATCCTTTAAGCGACGACCATAGCCTTTTCACCTGGGATGGGGGGAAGGAAAACGAAAAGCCATGTGAAGCCATCAGGCTCTCCCTCATATGAGGGAAAGGCTCGGTTGGAGTCTGTTGACTCCCTTCTGGAACAACTCTTTGTAGGTTCAAGCCGGATTGGAACACACAACACTTATCATATCATCATGTCACGGAATCTTTTTTTTTTTTTTTTTTTTTTTTTTTCTTCACAAAAAATCAATTGTTTAACCATGGATTCTTCAACTGCAGGAGGAGTTTCGAGATCTGGATCAGTCACTCATTCTTGCTATTACCCTGGAGCGAAACATCCAAACGGACTATGACGACATCAAGGACATTCTCAACACACTGGCGCAGACTGCTTCATGTGAGGCCTCGACGTCGTTCGACCCCTCCGGAATGGGCATGTCGGTCGAGGGGGCAAACGGTGATGAAGTCGATCACAGCATCATGTCCGAGTCTTTGGCTACGGAAAATGCCACAACGATATCCGACTCCATCTTCTCCTTCGAGTCCTCCTCGTCGTCCGAGGACCTCAAATTTTGCGATTCATCAGACCTGAACGAGCTGGATAAGGTCGAGCGACTTCGTCTGGTGTTTCCCAACTTCAAGGAGCACACCCTCAAATTTGTGCTTAAACAAAGCGGAGGCGACCTTGACAGGGCCTTTGACGATCTTCTGACCCGGCAGCACCTCCACGAGACGGGCCAGCTGCCCAAGGGACTGGATGGCTTTCACGAGCCACAGGGAAGCACCGCAACCCGCAGAGGCAAGAACAAGTCCAAGGACCAAAGCAGCAAAGGAAAGGCAAAACTTGCACTGAACTACGCAGTGGTGTTGCCGACAGTGGACAACGAGGAGTTGGAAGGGGCTAAGGGACCCATCCGACCCTCGCCGTCAACACGGCGCGGCGGCATGGCAAGTTCACAGGTTGTCACCACCTTTGAGAGGGCGTCTACCCTTGTACCAAGCCCAGACAGTGAGTACGGAGTCTCCAACCTCTACGCGCAGGCTTCGGCTCTTGCTCGCAAGGGACCGTTGGGACGACAAGGCGCCATCGTTTACACGGAACGCGCCCGGGAAGAAGCCCGTGCCGCTGCCGAAAGGATATCGCTGGCATCCGAACAACTAGTCAACCAGAGAAGCACATACTGCAGTATCGATCTACACGGCGTCACCGTTTTGGACGGGGTGCGCATTGCCAAGGAGCGAGTCTGGCGGTGGTGGAACAGTCTGGGCGAGCACCGTAAGTCCAAGGCCAAGATGGAGGGATTCACGGTGGTTACGGGTGTCGGTCGTCATAGTTCGGGTGGCGTCTCGCGTCTTCGACAAGCTGTGGGACTTGCCTTGAAGAACGACGGTTGGAAGGTCGAGACGTTAACGGGCCAGTTTTACGTCACCGGGAGGGTCTGATTGGTTTTGCGATGGGGATGAAGAGAGAGGGGATTATTTGCATATGTTGTCGCTGGGCTATTTTGGGTCATTTGCCTGTTCGCATGATAGCAGTGTTGAGCAGTTCATGGGTGTGATTTTTGGAAAAGTTGAGCTGGAGCGTAGAGGTATATTGTTTTGGTTATTTACTGCTTTGGCGTGTGGTCGTATTTGCGCTAGGATGTATTGATGATGATCAAGTAGAGATGATAGCGGATGTATGCTTTGAAGCACATATCAAGTATTGAGATGCTCTTGTCATACAAGTTTCTGTAGATAACCAACTAGTTAGTGTACATAGCTTGTACGTCGTCGTTGGTGACGGTGGCCAAGGACGAAGACGGTTCGACACGAACCCTTCATAGTAAATACTTGACCGCCTGCCGTATCCAGCTGTTAGCCAGGTCTTGGCCGGGATTCACAGCTGTGGACTTGTCCCGCGTGATCGATTCTCAGGGACTTGAGGGACAGGTGCATGAGTTGTCGCGGCCTGGGCTGGCGGCCTCTACCAGTCGTTTCCTACCTCGACGGAGTTCTCCTCCCACCTTTTGCCCCAGTCCGAAAACAGCCAATCAGAAAACACAGGGCGTCTTAGCTGCCTTCAGTTGATGACGCATGCATACCTAGTAAGTACCTAGCCAAACCAACGCGACCACAGCGCTGGCAGGCACGCAGGCACCTCATCAACTGAAGGGAAGCCCCAGGACCAGAGCGGGAGCTTCCAAGTCATCCGTTTCATGCCTGGGGCAGGGCAAGTGCCAGTTTCAATTTCCAGTTCCGGTTCAGTTTCCCATCTCCAACTCCCATTATCAATAATCGGAAAACAGACGGGAGGTTCTACCATCCATCATCGCCGTCTGGGATTCTGGTCCACTAATCAATCCACTATCGCCTGGACCCGACCCGATCATCTAGGTCCTCTCTCTATCTACCGAGACATCGACGGTCAACAACAAGTTGACGTCGAACAACTCGAAGCGACCATCAAAAGTGACCCCGAGGACCTTACCGTACCTCCATCGCTGATCTGACGACGACTATTGGTATCATACCATATGCAACCTGATACATAGGTCCTACATCAGTCTCCCTGGAAGAACGTTGGCCGGACCAACATTGAGCGGGAACTCCCCATTGCATCCAAGCCGCCGAGCGGCAACGGCAACGTCAATAATAGCGACGACGTCCTGCCCTTGATTGATTCTCGACCATGATAAAGCTATCCACGCTTGTCGTGGCCAGCGGCGGGCTCCTACTATCAGGTCTGGGAAGTGTCACAGCCGAGATATATACGCCAAAGCACGAAGCTGGACGATGTGCTATCAGAGGCCACTGCGGATCCAAGGGTCTCTTTGGGAGCCAGTTGCCCTGTGTTGACAATGGCTTGGCCGAGGAACCCGACGACTATCTCCGTCAACAACTAGTTGATCTCTGTGGCCCTAAATGGAGTACAGGGCCGGTGTGCTGCCTGCCTGAACAGGTAATCCCTCTTTCGGCTCGTCGGGTTAACCAAGCAAGATGCTGATATTGACCCTTACTGCAGGTCGACTCGCTCAAGTCCTCTCTATCGACAGTGAACCAAATAATATCGTCTTGCCCGGCGTGCAAAGACAACTTCTTCAACATGTTTTGCACCTTTACATGTTCTCCCAACCAGTCGCTGTTCGTCAATGTCACCAAGACGATTGAAAAGAAGGGCAAGGAACTAGTGACCGAGCTGGACCAATTGATTTCTGAAGAGTATGGAACCGGCTTCTACAACAGCTGCAAGGACGTCAAGTTTGGTCCTACAAACTCGAGGGCCATGGACCTGATAGGCGGTGGTGCCAAGAACTACACCCAGTTGCTCAAGTTCCTTGGCCAGGAACGCTTCGGTGGCTCGCCTTTCCAGATCAACTTCCCTGTCGAATACGCTGAGCCCGACATGAAGCCGTTGCCCATGAAGCCCAAGAAATGCAACGACGAGGACCCCAACTTCCGTTGTGCCTGCGTCGACTGCCCAGAGATCTGCCCCACGCTCCCGGACGTCGAACAGGCTGGGTCTTGCCATGTCGGCGCACTACCGTGCCTGTCATTCGCTTCCATCTTGACTTACAGCGTCATCTTGTTTATTTCCATCGCTGCCGTAGTCGGCCACATTGCCTGGAAGAGACATGCTAAGCGCAGGAGTGAAAGACTCCGTCTTCTCACTGATGCTGCCCCCAGCGACGACGAGGATGAGGGAGACTTGACCCAGAACGTGGCCATGATTGACCGCCCCCAAAAGACATATATTATCAACACATGGTGTGATTCTGCTTTCAGCAAGCTGGGATATATCGCGGCCACGTTCCCGGCCATTACCATTGTCACCAGCATTCTGATCGCTAGTGTCCTCAGTCTTGGCTGGTTCCATTTTGAGCTTGAAAAGAACCCGGCCCGTTTGTGGGTGAGCCCAACTTCACCAGCGGCCGAGGAGAAAGCCTTCTTTGACTCCCATTTCGGCGCCTTCTACCGCGCTGAGAAGGTCTTCCTTGTGAACGATACCAACCCCTCCGGTCCTGGACCCGTCCTGAGCCGTGATACTCTCCTCTGGTGGATGGATGTCGAGAAGAGCGTTGCGGCGCTCAAGGGTGCCAATTATGGAAGCAGTTTCCAGGACCTGTGCCTCAAGCCCACTGGTGATGCTTGCGTTGTTCAGTCAGTTGCTGCTTACTTCCAAGACGATCCCGACTCTGTTGATCCAGAGACTTGGCAGAGCACGTTGCGGACTTGCGCCGCGTCCCCGGTGGAGTGTCGCCCTGCGTATGGGCAGCCTCTTGACCCTAGCATGATTCTTGGCGGATACCCAGAGGGCGGCAACGTTGCGGAAGCTTCAGCTATGACTGTTACCTGGGTGTTGATCAATCCTCCTGAAAACTCTCCCGAAGTTGAC